GGGTGAGACCCAAATAAAAGTGAAGCATATTATTGTCAAACTTAAAATATCTTTGGACAACTTTTAACTCTTTACAAAACTCCAGTTTCTTGATTTTCTGCTTTTCTGTGTTCCCTCAAAACAGTTCTAGAGAAAGAAGCCCCAAAAGATATATATATATATATATATATAGATATAGATAGATAGATAGATAGATATAGATATAGATATAGATATAGATATAGATATAGATATAGATATAATATCTCAGCCTCATTTCCCCCTCCCTCCTCTCTTCCCAGTCCCTCCTGACACCTCCTTCCCCCAACCCACTCTTCTACTCACAAAGGGCAGGTCTCCCATGCATATCAACAAAACATAGCATATCACATTGTAGTAAGACTAAGCACCCCTCCTTGTATTAAGGCTGGGCAAGGCAACACGTATGAGGAATAGAGTCCCAAAAGCCAGCAAGAGTCAGAGCAACCCCTGGAACTGTTAAGAGTCCCACAAGAAGACCAAGCTACACAGCTGTCACTTATATGCAGACGGCCACACTCCCTTGCAGGTTGTTAGTTTAGTCTCTGTAAGCTCCTGTGAGCCCACATTAGTTGATTCTGTGGGTTTTTGTGTGATGTCCTTGAACCCTCTGGCTCCTACAATCCTTCCTCCTTCTCTTCAGCAAGATTCCCTGAGCTCAGCCTAATGTTTGGCTGTGAGTCCCTGCATCTGTTTCCATCCGTTTCTGGATGAAGCCTCTCTGATGACTATTGGGCTAGGCACCAATCTGTGAGTATAGCGGAATATCATTAGACATCGATACATTGACTTTTTTTCTCTAATCTTAGTTGGTTCTATCCTAGGTCTCTGAGTCATCCAGCATCTGGGTCCTGATGCTCAAGGCAGTGTCAGGAGTGAGCTCACTCTCATGACATGGGTCTCAGGCTAGACCGGTCACTGATTGGCCACTTCCACAATCTCTGTGCCACCCTTAGGCAGGACAGACTGTAGGTTGAAGGTTTTGTGGCTGTGTTGGTGTTCTAATCCCTCCACTGGAAGTCTTGCCTGGTCACAGGAGCTGGCCAGTTCAGGCTACACATCCACTGTTGCTAGCTGTCTTAGCAAGGATCATCCTTGTAGATTCCTGGAAGTTTCGCTTCTAAAAGGTTTCTACCTGACCCCATTCCCTCTTCCCCACCCCTTACCTGATCTCTCTTGTCCCTGTCCCCACCAGCCCTCCAGTCTACCCATGAAATCTCTATTTCCCCTTCTCAGGGCAATTCTGTAGCTATTCTTCCTTTACAGCTAATGTCACCTTATAAGTGAGTGCAAACCATGTTTGTATTTCTGGGTCTGGGTCACCTCACTCAGGATGACTTTTTCTAGTTCCCTCCATTTGCCTGCAGATTGCATGATGTCATTAGAAAGATAAATAAGTCACATGCGCACACGCCCACATGTGTTAAGGAGCAAAGTTGTAAATTTAATATGTTTTCCTGGAAATCCATTTCAAACTTTAAAGGTACAAAATTAACTGTGTTTACACAGAGAGAAAGCACTTCTTGTTAAGTACATATTAAGAACACATTAACCTAACTCACATATTAGCCACTTCAGAACAAAAACGGGAAACTATTTCTAGAAAGGAAGGTGATTAAACATTTTAAAAATTTAGATGTAAAATAGGGATATACCACAAATCACCAAAATGTACACAAAAAGGGTCAAGTCATTGTGGCAGAACTTTTAAGTTGTTCAAGACTCACGACCGCTACTTTTTTCTGTTCAGCTATCTGCTGGGAGTTTTCCAAGTCTTTAGGGGATACATGATAAAAATTATCGCAAAACCCCACACAACAGAGTATTTTTCCTAATATGTTTGAAGAAGGCAGCATATTTCCAAACAGAAAACATGACAAATAGACTGTCAAATGGACTGGAGAGATGGTATAGTGAGAAAAGAGCTTGCTATGTAAGCATAAGGACGTAGTCAGGTTCCCAACACACACATAAAAGCAAGGTATGGTGGCGCATGCCTGCAACCCCAGTGGTAGAGATAGGGGGATCCCCAGCATTGCTAGCCAGCCAACCTAGCTGAACTGGTGAGCCCCAGGTTCAATAACAGAGATCTGATTTCAAAGGAAAGGTGGAAAGCAAAATCAGCCTTTGGTCTTCATGTAGATATATGTGTGCACATACATGCACACACACATACACACCACAAACATATAAAATCATAGACCCTTTAAAATAGAATGCTGTGAAACAATCTCATTGTTAATCAAGTTTCTAAAATTGTGGGCGCTATAAAACTGAATGCAGTAGCATATTGAAAAGCGGCTTAAGTGATTGCTGATGACTGCTTTTGCGCCCACGGAGTTGACGTGTCAAGGGCGCTTCCTTCATTGGTGGCTCTCATTGCAAAAGTGATTCTGAAAGAGGAGGAATAAATGGCAAGAGGGAGAAACAAGAAATGTCCCCAAAGGAGTCAATATCTCATGGTCTCCCAGAAATTAATATTCAAAAGGAATTCATTCCTCCCTGTATTTTAATTTTTCTTTCTGTACTTGATGCTTTAAAAAGTAGCTTGAAAAAAAAAAACAAATATTCAGAATAAAAATAAGCAAACAAATAAAAAACAACATTCAAATTAAGATCATTAGTCTGATCAATGTCTCAATAAAGGTGAGATCCGAATCCTACCTCTAAAACCAGCTTGGGCCAAGTCACCAGAGACACCATCAACCTCAACCCTCTTGTGAGCTGAGAGAAAGTTCAAATTTGTGTAGGGACAGCCTAGGCCAAAGCCATAGGTCATCATAGAAAATCTGGTCTGTGCTCTATGGGTATTCTTTATTATAAAAAATATAACCAGAGCAAAAAGTTCAAAATTTGAACCAAATAAAATAGTCATTAAAACATAAGCACACTCATCAACCAAATTGCTACCTGGAAAGAACTACTTATGACAAAACTCATTTGATTAAAGATATGAGATTTTACTGAATGTACAGACAAGTTATAAGCTTTATTCACAGGTGCATATACACACAAACACGGAGATATATGCTTACGTGTGTATGTGTAAGTATGACTGAATGCAATATAAGTTTGAAGAACAATATTCACCAGCTAGAGTATTTAATATCATAGCACCCAAGTTCATGGATTGTGGAAAGGGAAACATCCTCTTACTGATGCCTACAAGTCCCTGGGAACCAGCTCTCCTCCAGCTGACTTGTCCCCAGATGTCGTACTGTCATCTCCAACGTGTGTGTCCCTTACCCTACGCTAGTATACAGACAGACCTGAAACCTTTCCGCTTTGACCAGAGAAAATGAAATAAAAGCCAAAACTCAAACAAAAATGAAAATCCACCACAAAAGGAAACTAGGAAAGTGGGTAGTTTTGTGTCCCAGAAATGCAAAGGACTGAAAATCGAACATAGGCCATTTCTGTTCTGACATAGTCCTTGAGTCCTTCGTGTCTCCCACTTTGGGAGATTCTGCCAGGCATTAATACTGAAGTCCCTATCCCTGGGCCACAGGCCTTTATCCTCTGCAATTATACTCTGTTTTCTTGGCTCTTCCCCTTCGACCATCAGCAGGCTGGCTTTTGCTTTTTTGTTATTTCTTACGGGATCTGGGGATTCACTGTAATTCTTTTTTTAACCTGAATTAGTTAATATTTGCTTTCTAACACAAATCCTGGAACCATCTGATTAAGTCCAGTAAAGCATATTTAGAAGAGTCAGTGAAACTATAATTTTCCTTTATGCTGACTTAAAACGAACAGAAAGAAAATTGATCAGATTGTTTAATATTAGCAAATTTTCCTTCTATGAATCCATGAAATTGGCTCAAAACTGGTATTGCATTAGACAATGTGTCTAAAAATCTGCATATCCAAGGACATGTATATGTCATTGTGAACTGTCCTCCTTTTATAACAAGTTGGCTGGGCTGTTGCATTCAGTCAATGACCTACGCTAGGACCTCAAAGGCAAGTGAAAAATTATAGCCTGCGTATATGTGCTGCTTTCCATAGGAGGAATACAGAAACAGAGGCCGGTTTGCTCCCACTTTTTAAAAAGCCACTTTTCAGGGACTACATGCTACTGTAGATGGTTGCATGTCAGTTTACACTTGGAGGAAGCAAATTAAATTCTGGTTGAAAATTTCTTCTGAGGGAACATGCTGCTACTGCCACCTGGGGGAAGCTCTTTCCTGCTTCCTTCAAGACAACTGATGCTCTGAAGAAGGAGGGGTCCCGTCCACACATTCCTTGTCATATCCGCTAAGGAAGAAGTTCCAGCTGTCTCCAGATTCCCTTCATAGAAGCACTATCCAATAGATTTCTTGGGAGATATAAGAGAGGACTAGAATATAACCAGAAAGAGGCTTCTACGTCTAACGTGATAGGAAAGACTTTGGAGAAGTATGGGCTATATACTAAGAAGTGGAGGAAGTCAAATCTGAACTTTTAATTTCAAAACAAAACCAATTTTAAAAGAAAACTATTTAATGGTAACTTAGTTAATTGTGTGTTTTAAATATGTCATCCTATTTAATGATGATTATTTGATTATGAAAATTGCATGACCTCAGAAAAGCACACAGGAGATTTTTAACAGGTTAAGATGACACATTTCAAGTATATGGAAATAACCTAGAGAATTTTTCGTATAAAAATTTTGTGAATTAAATACTGTTACATTTTCTGTAATTATACACTTTTGTTGCTGTTTTTCATGAAGTGGTGATGTAGTGTTTATCAATTAAAATGGGAAACTTGTAACTACCACTAAGAATGTTTCATACTTTTGCTGTGGGAATCTTATTTGTTAGAAACACACTCAAAAAGTCTAATCCTGGAGGCAGAGATTCCAGGAAGTATCTGTTAAAACAACAAACCTGTCAGGTAATGTCAATAGGCTCTGATTAGAAGACAACTAATCACATATAAAAAGGTTGTCTGGTAACAGATTAACTAAGCAAAATACTACAGTATCAGTCGCCTGCTGGTACCACGCAGTCAGGGGACCAAAGTTCACTTCAAAGAATAAACTGAACCAGTTCCAAGGAGGTCTGTGAAGAATATATTTGCAAGACTAAAAAAGGTAAGTGGCACACAGCTGGTTTTTAAATATATTAGATATGTGATTCAGGACTAGACAGAAATAAATGGCAACTCAACACAGGTGACACAAATAAATGAACTAGGTGTGAGTTGATAGCTGCCTGAGGGGCTGCTGGAGTCAGCGATATTTTGTTCAGTTGTGTGGCGCCTTGAAGTTACTAGTGATAAGATCTGGAAAAACTGGAGTGAGGGACCTTAGAAAACTAGTAGGATACTTAACAACATATAATAGAATTGTAAATCGCAAGCAAAATGATCTCTATTACCTATTAAAGTTTCTTTATTTGTGATTCAGCAAACTGAGGTCATTTGACAGTTTGCCAGTAGTTTTGGTTATCAAACAATGAAAATGACCAATAACCTTAAAATACTCTAAGGCTTAGGCGCTGCACGAGAATTGAGAACACTGTACAGGTTCTTTAAATGGAAATTCTTGTGCTTCCTAAATGGATTGCTGGGTTTCATCAAAGAGTTCACACTTTGCAATGATCAACTCTGCAGGAAATAATTTCCTAACAAAAATTACAAGTAGCTTTCATTTTTATTAGACTGTTTTCTGGTTGTAAAACAATGTTTCATAAGAAGAAGTAATAGCCATCTTTTGCAATATTTATGTTTCCTAGGAGAAAGGCATTTAGAAAGCAGGGAAGAGGGGTTTTTTCAGTTGGCACGTGCATATCCAGGGAGTGGGGAGATGAGCAGGTGGCTGACACCATTCAAATGTCCAACAAGCGATTCTCTATTGAGAAACACACATCCATGCTCTTAGGATGGCCTTACCTTGTTCCTAAGTTTCTCTCCTTATCTTAAGGATTATGCTTTAAAGCTATGTTAGAATCACTTTTAATTCTGAGTTTTTAAATTAAATAATACAATGCTGAATGCAACTGGTCATGGTGGCTCATACCTGTAATACCTGCCCTGCAGGCAGGTGAATTCAGGTGAACAGCCTATAAGTTTGAGATCAGTCCAAGCTACATAGTAAGTTTCAGGCCAGCCTGCCCATCTGAGCTACAGAGTGAGACTCTTGGCTCAATTAGGGGGGTAGGTGCTGTAGAGATAGTTCAGAGGCTAAGAGAACTGGCTGTTCTTCTAGTAGGCCATGTTTTGAGATCCAGAACTCATATTGTATAGTTCACAACCTTCGTTAAATCCACTTCCAAAGGATCCAACATCCGTATCCTGGCCTCAATAGGCACTGGACATGTAATTAATACACATACATGCATGTAGGCAAGATACACACACACACACACATATATATAGATATATAGATATAGATAGATAGATAAATTGAAAAGAAAAATTAAGACAAAAGAAAATAGCCAAAAAAAAAAAAAAAGGCTTCTTCTTACACTGTTGTATTTATTTCTACTTCTTCACCGTGGGTTCCTGAACTCAATGATCTCAATCCCGAACTCTCTGTTTCACCACACTGAGGCACCAAAATGTCCTTCCTAACTGAGTTTATCTTCATGGTACCTGGCTTCTCCTTTTCCTACAGCTATCCCTTCCTGTCTTCTATGTGCGTCCCCACTATCAGCTGCTACTATTTCAATCCCCACTCGGTCTGTGTGACAACTCTAATGGATGTCATGGAGCACATGGTCCTGCTTAGGTCATTGCAGAGGAGGAGGCAGCACACCACTGGCAGGACAGGAAGTGCTCCATGCATGGATGCTGAGTCTGTAGCCTCACCCAATCACAGGCTGAAACTATTTAGAAAAAAAAAAAAAAAAGTCTGCATTGGTCATGCGCAGACCCTCCTTTTCTTTGTCATTGCCCCCCCCACCAATAGAGTAGGGCAGTCCTTACATTGTACTGTTAGAATTATACTAAGGATAATCTAGATATCATTTAGAGTATTATAAAGGGTGCTGAGCATAGTTAATATGAATGCCATGCCATTTTATATGAGTAACTTGAGAACGAACAGGTTTTTGTAAATGTTGAGGCAGTGAGTCATTTCCCCATAGACACTGAGGGACAACTATACATGGAGTATAATAGGCCAGGTCAGAGGCTATATATTGGTTAAATATAGATACCTAATTCTCTTTGTGGTGTCCTTGTTTACCCACAGCTATGACAGACACCAACAAGATGATCGTCAATCTGGCTGTCTTTGGCAGGACTCAGAGTGGGAAAAGTTCTGCTGGGAATATTCTTTTGGGAAGTACTGACTTCTACAGTAGTCTCTCTCCAGGCTCTATAACCAAAGAGTGCAGCCTGGGCCGCAGTTGTTACCTTCACAGCTTCATGCGTCGAGGGGGACAAGAAATAACCCTGCAGATACAGGTTTTGGACACTCCAGGGTATCCACACAGCAAGCTGAGCATGGAACATGTAAAACGGGAAGTCAAGAAGGCCCTGGCACATCACTTTGGGCAAGAGGGTCTCCATCTTGCTCTGCTGGTCCAGAGAGCGGATGTCCCTTTCTTCGGACAGGAAGCATCTCACCCAGTCCAGTTGATTCAGGTAATACAAAGGTGCAATTATACTAGCACCATTATAGATTTGGGTAATACAAAGATGCAATTATACTGGCACCAGTATTCCCAGCTGTGGGCATATCTGCATAGGCAGGAACACACTGACTCAAAAGATACTTGAATTACAAAGTGTTAGCCATGTAGCAATAGTCAGAAAAAAAAAAGGTGACTTGATTTTCTGCTGGTTCTATTTTTTAATTTCATGCAGAGCTGTGTTTCTCAACTTTCCTAATGCTGTGACCCTTTAATGAAATTCCTCATGTTGTGGTGACTCCCAACCATAAAATTATTTCATTTATATATCATAACTGTAAATTGCTACTGCTGTGAATCATAATGTAAATATCTGATACATTGGATATCTGACAAGAGACACAAAAGGAGTCACAACCCACAAGTTGGAAACCACTGTCATAGACAGAAATTTCTAGACACTAATTTCAGAAGTTAAGCCTTACATCCTAAGAACCGTGAACTTGAGTCAGTTTGTACAATATGTAATCCTTGAATGCACCAGAATCAGCTGGGTGACTTATTAAAAATGCAGATTCACCCGAGACTATGAAACAGCATCTCAAGAGTGAGACTTACACATCTGCATTTTTATGTTTTTATATACGTTTATTAGAACAAGGTGGGTTCAAAAATACCAATTGAAATACCCACACACCATTGTAGCTGGAAGTTCCTCTCCTATCCACCAGTTCCCAAATAACCACTCAGAGGCTTATATTAAATATAAATATTTGGCCAGTGTATCAGGCTTTTACTAACTAGCTCTTACATTTAAATTAACCCATTTCTATTAATCTATTTATTGTCACGTGGCTGTGGCTTACTGGTAAAGCTCTGGCATCTTACTCCTCTGGTGGCTACAGAGCATCTCCCCGACTCCACCTTCTCTCTCTCCATATCTCTGTTTGGATTTCCTGCCTGGCTCTGTTCTGCCTGGCCATTGGCCAAATCAGTTTCTTTACTAACCAATGGTAATAAAACTACTCATGGCATACAGAGGGGTATCCCTCATTATATACCATACAACATCAAGGGGACAATTTGTTATAATTCATCAATACACAGTGCTCAGAACTATTTGGGATAACCATCAGTTGGCTACAAAAAGATTATAATCTAGAAGAGGCAAATAAATGTAGGAAATAACAATGAAGTGTAATGTGTAAGAGGAGTGATGTAAGACTTATTAGCATCAAGCCAAATGTCGCAGGAAGCCTACTTAGCCCTCTTTGTGGTGCCTTTGTTTACCCACAGATATGACAGGTGTTCAGATGAAGAGCTTTCCCCATTTAACAGGAAATGGCAAAGGCTGACCCAAATGGCAGATACACGTTTTGTAAATACAAGAAAGAAATCTGCAATTTCCAATGTTTTCTAGCCACAGCACCTATAGAAAATTCTCCATTCCAGTCATGAACTAAAAAGACTTTAGGCAGAAGCTAAATGGCACATGCTGCATGTGTTTATACCCATTCATACATCATTCATTTATCATTAGTTGCTAAGTTGGGGGGCTTCATTCATTAGACAGTCCAGCAAAGGAGCTAGATAAGGAGAAGGGTTTTGGAGGAATAAAGACTGCACATGTGAACAACACCAAGAATAGTGTAGGAAAAAGGCCCATGTATACTGTCACTTAATGATTCCTAGAAATTACTCACTGACCTGGTCCATTCCAGCCAAGCTCTTGATTCTCTAGAGAGGATTCACCTAATCTAACTGCTGAGCCTAGTCACTGTGTTCAGATGAAGGACACTCCCTTAACAAGCAAAGACAAAAGATTGACCCAAATGGCAAATACACTTTTTGCTTCTCGATGGTTATACGTGTTTGTAAAAGTTTGGGGGAAAAGTAGTAGTGGAAAATTTAAAATGACAAGAGCAAAACATTCATTTTCCAACTTGAAGGCTCAAGTCATGTCAACAGTAAACAAGATGTTTTTAATTGATATCCCATCCCGTTTCTGCTCCCCAGGGAGGGTGAGGTCTTCCATGCAGAGTCCTCAAAGTCTGTCATATCATTTGGAGCAGGGCCCAGGCCCTCCCCCCATATGCCTAGGCTAAGGGAGTGTCCCTCTATGTGGAATGGGCTCCCAAAGTCCATTTGTACTAGGAATAAATATTGATCCACTACCAGAGGCCCCGTAGACTGCCAAGTCCTCCTAACTGACACCCACATTCAGAGTGGTCTGGGTCAGTCCTTTGCTGGTTTCCCAACTATCTGACTGAAATCCATGAGCTCCCCCTTGTTCAGGTCAGCAGTTTCTGTGGGTTTCTCCAGCCTGGTCTTGACCCCTTAGCTCATCATACCTCCCTGTCTGTAACTGGATTACAGGAGTTGGGTTCAGTGTTTAGCTCTGGGTATCTGCTTCTGCTTCCATCAGCTACTAGATGAAGGCTCTAGGATAGCATATAAGGTAGTCATCAATCTCATTATAGGGGAAGGGCATTTAAGGTAGCTTCTCCACTATTTTTTAGATTGTTAGATATCTCTGGGTATTTCCTTAGTGCCAGATTTCTCTTAAAACCTATAATGGTTGTGATATCTCTTTTCTTGCTCTCCTCTATTCTTTTCCTGACTCAATCTTCCCCAAACATCAGGATAATTTTAAGAACAAATTTAACATTCACTTAAGGCTGCTATGTGTAAACTCGGTAGACTCACAAACAACCATTTCTCAAAAACACCTTGACTCTCTCCATGTATCTCACTATTCTTCCCTATGGCACACTATGTTGAGGCCCAAATGATTTCAATGTTATACATTTTGAAAGTAGATTCTTCTAGTGTTAATATACAGAACACTATTGGTACAAAGCAATTTAATTAATATTTGCCTCTTTCCTTTTGAAATGATACCTGCTTAGCTTCCTCCAACAGCTGTCTTCTTAAAGTCGTTGCCTATGTCAGGAGTTGAAGACCATCAGGAGATAAGTTTGAGCAAAGCTCAGATCCTATTTTTTTTCCCTAAAATACATAACTTTTTTTTTCTTGAATATTAGCAGACAAGACTTAGCAGTCCCCAGAGCAGCCCATGAGTATTGGAAGTTATTGCAGACATGTTTGGGACCCCTCTTGGTCTTCCATTGATTCTCTCTGAGGCACAATTGGATGCTTATGGCTTTCTCCTGAAGGTGCCTCAGATACCCATGGCAGTCAGATGTATGTGCTGCCACATCAGGAGCAGCTGCCAGACGTCTTGATGTCTGACAGGACCAAGAGCAGTTGTTTAAGGGACTAGTATGGTTCATGGGTTCCAGGCATTCCCTGGATATCATTTCCTCCTTGGCTGATAAACAAGGAGAATGGAGTAACCATCCTTTTCCTTTCTGGGTAAGGGAAGAGTCCTGGCACCAAAGGACTGGCCTCGTCTCTCCTGTGCCTTTCTGTTGTCTCCTGTTTTGTGTTTTAATATTGTGATTTAATACTTGCCATAAGCTGCCAGCTGTGATGATTAAAGCATTCCTCTAAAGATCTTTCTCTTTATTTGTATTAGGTCCATACTAGAGATGTCAGTGAGTTGTATCCTCCAAATTGGGAAAGAAAAGGAATGACTCATGTGAGTGTTAGGGGAAATATTATTTGAATGTTAAAAAGAAAATCCACAAATATATTAGAGAAGACATAATACATCTCCTCCACTAAAGAGCCAGAATGATAGAAACAAAATCACTCTAGGAACTGAACCCATGAGCTGACTGTAGAATCTATATTCTTTTGTAAAACAACGGACAGTATTACTATTGTGAAGATGTATTTTTGTCATAGTACCAACCACTCAGCTATTGGTTGATGTTGCTGGTGGGTGCTCACAAGGCTCACAAGGCCAGTAATGGACCTTCACATACCAGACAAACATGCTCAAAGACAAGCCTAATGTTACTAGCCTTGGTTTTGGAGTCTCAGTCACAGTGGATAATGATTTTATTGACATTAAAGACTTCTACACACTAGTGTTAGTAAATCTGACATGCTTAGCACTAAGTTCAGTTTACAAAGGGGAGCAGTTGAAGATGGCAAAACAGCATTGTTATGACCAAGGAGCATTCATTCACGTGATCCACAGAAAGGGGTGGCTTATTACAGAGGTGAAGAACACAACTCCAGAGTACGTTATACATACCCATGTCCAAGCTCATTCTGAGCTACCTGTTTGCTCCATGACCCTAGGCAAGTAACTTCTATGAACTTCATTGGTTAGCAGCAAGTGATCTACTTACCTGGTTTCCTTTTGGATTGCAACATGGTCTTGGCAGTAGTAAATCCTTTAACCGAAACACTGGCATATAAATGCAACATAAATGTTTAGCTGTGGGAACTATTTTATATTATTATTAGTCTAGGCTCTGACACTCAGGGAACTTTTTTTTCTACTGATAATCAGTAGTGGCCCTGTGATCATGTGATTTCCATCAAGCCACTTACCATCACAAAGCCTCAACACTCTCATGTTTAAAATTAGGAGATTTGAATAGATGCTTTCTAGTGTTGAATATTCCATGAACCTGACTTGAGGTGTTGTCATTCATCTTTGACAGTCTGAGAAGGAAAATGTGGCACTTCAAAGCGGGATGAGAGTAAGGAAATAGCATAGACACACATGCACGCACGCACACACGCATGCACACACACTCACACACACATGCACGCACATGCATGGACACACATGCATGCACACATACACACACTCACACACACACACGTATGATCCTCCTGTTCTATGATAACTTTTTTCTCAGCTGATGTAATTATTGGCTTTTTTTCTAAAGTTTCCCCCTAAAATGTCCAGATGCTATGATTTCATCAACCACAAACAAATGGGGCAGGGCTGGTGAGGTCCTGAGAAAATGAACCATTCCTGGCAAACAAGTTTATATTCTAGCTAGCTGTCCCAAAAGGACTAGATGGACTCACACCCCTGTGTATTGTGAACCCAAACAATCTGTGGTTGTAGCATTTCCATTCAGCTTA